TATTCTTGAACCATTGAAAGCCTCAAAAAACCTATCTAGATACAGAAGCAAAAAGAAAGCGATTACTTTAAAACAAATAATGATAAACTAATCGAATCCTTGGATTTAAGTGAAATATAATTCTGACTAGTTCAGGTCAGTTTTCTAGATGATTCTAATGCGAACTATAATGCGGTTAAGAGAGTTTTTCCCAAACTCTTCTTGGTGAGAATGCTTAAGTCTTCTAAAGCCGTTAGTAAGACTTTACAACTTATTACTTTCTCTTTGTAGATTTATATTTTGATCTTGATTTACCAAACTTAACCTCAAAAATTGCAGTGAGTATAACTATTTTGCTGGATAATTTGCCATGCTTTTGATACTTCTTACCATGTATGTGTAGTGACCTACTTTTATTAAGAGAACGCGATTGGTGTAATGGAAACAATTATTATTATTATAACCAATTGCACCGTTGATTGTTTTACTCGTTTGTTTGACTGTACTAAGGACATTCTTCTTTCCGTTGATTGTGACCTTGCACGAATTCGGTTACGCTCAGTAACCACACTTGTAACCCGGCACTATCTCTGTATTCTTTCGATACCATGAGATCGTCAACAAATACATCTCAACTACAGCCATCAACTGCCTTTTGATATTTGACTTACGGGGGATCTTATCGGTTAACTGGCACGTAGTCAACTGCAACTTGACGCCACACTACATATGTATTTTCACCTAGACTAGCTAAACATATTTTATGTGAACCCTTTACAAGACTGTTTTAGGGATAATATATATTTAATATCTTCAAATGACCACATACTATTACGATAAAGTGTGTTGTTTTCATGAGAGCCATATTAGATTCTACATTGATTTGACACTTACTAGTTCTGATTATCATTACTACATGTTTACGAATGTTACTAGGCTAACTACAACAACCACTTACAAATATTATATTATGCCCGTTATGTTCCTAACTGTAGTTCTATAAGTCATGTCCCAACCTTTAACTTTTTTTATAGATTGTTATATTCCTCATCAACGTATATGTTAACCTGTCCTGTACATGTGTTGCACTATGTCATCTCTATGCTATTTGAATTTAACAGTTATATAAAGCGCCTTCAATCTTTCTTCCCAAACAAATCATAGTCGTTATTGTTATACTTATTTGGGTTTATGAAGTAGGCTATAATATTGGTTGCTTAAAAAGGCGTTAAAAATAGATAATAAAGTCACCGCATCAAGGTACTATCGTACTACACTGATATAATGATTAAACTATCACGTAGTTGTTAGTCAAGCGAGCACTCAAAATAAAAATTCTGGAGTCGATAAATATTTCTGGATCTCGATTTGAATCCATTAATACTAAAAATTATTTCAGAATAACCTAAAACAACAATACCCATATCCCAATAGTTTATCCCCAATCAACACTATAACTAGTGATTCATAGTGGTTTCTGGATATCGTCATAAGGCATTGTTGTAACTTGACAATCACGTAATATGATTGATAAAATTGAAACTATTAACAAAGTCTGTGGATAAACCGTCTTCCAATTATTATTAAATAGTACTGTTTTTTCGTGGTTATTACTGTTATCTGTAATGGATGATTTTAGTATGTTTCCCCATCACTTGCTCATTCAGTAAACATCTTAAAAACGTGTCAGTATAAATGAAGGCTTAACAACACAATCATGCATGCAAATCATCAATATAAGCAGTCGAGCAAATTTCCTGCAAGTTGGGAACATCACTGTTAAATTTACCAAAACATTGACAAGGATTCATTACATATCATAGATATGAGTTGGGAGTTGCACTTTCTTTGATTACAACTCATGTTCTTTCTGATAATCACATGAGCAGCACTGTCTTTCTTCTTGTGAAGATTTATTTAGCCGAAAGCAAGGTACAACACCGAATCTCCTATATTTGTGCACATAAGCTTTGTCGATTTCAACAACTTTTAATCACCTCATTTCAAATAAGTCGATTTCTGCTTCATGCCAAACTCGATAACTGCAATGAACTTGTATGCACTACCAAACGGTGAGTATCAATATAAAGAACTGGCTTACTTAACATCAAAGCATTGATTCTAGATCATGTATCTCATGTTTAGCATATTACTGTTAACTGTCTGTTCGAAATTCACATGATCATCACTATTTCCACGCACTGAAAGCATTTTTGATAACCATTCATATGTATTCGTAGCCTTATTAAATCCTGTCACGGTTGAGGAAATCTCCCCGCGACTAAATAAACCATATTAAGCTTAACAAACTAACTGGAACACTAGTTGGGATCCTTCCTCTGTCTGGTTATACTCCTGTTATTTCAGTTAGTTCACTGATGCAAAGGCAATTAGAAATCAACTCATACGTACAATATACCGGCATGAATGTTAACTGACTTTCAAATATCAACTGAAGATAATACCGATATCAACATTTATAAAATATTGGTTGTCTTTCTATTTACCCGCGCAAAATATTTGAACTGCCTATATATTAATGGTTATTTCTATGCGTCCTAATGTGACCTGTTGTAATATCTCTGTACTAAATCATTTTTCATTATGATAATTCCGTTTTGTTGACTGCTTAGATAATCTACACGTAGATTTTCCCTTTATGCGTATGTACTGTGGCGTCCAGTTGTGGTTGACTATGATAACCACTACAAGAAGGTTGCATACCAGATATCAGAAGGCGATTGGAGGTTGTAGCGAGATATATTTGTTGGCTATCTCGTGATATCGAAAGAATACCGAGATCGTGCCAAGGGAGTACAGGCGGAATCACTGAGCAAACGTAAGCGCGTACAGGGTCACAATCAACGGAAGGAGGAATGTCTTTACTACAGTCAAACAAACAAGTACAGTAAAACAATCAGTGGTACGACTGGTTATAATAATCATTGTCTCCATTAAATCAATCGCATTCTCTTGATAAAAGTAGGTTACTACACGTGTTACGAATTAGATCAAAGATTTTGGAATTACTGCATGTATTTTCCGGCCATTTGCTGTCGCCTCCTTTTTGATTTATCTTTCGGCTTATCAATAACATCTTTCCAGGCGTTGTCATTCTATGTAACTCATACCTTTCCACATTAAATATATTATTTTATCTCCAGCCATAATGTGTTCTTCCGAAGTAATAAACATCATATTGCTGGTTATCACCGTAGAACAAGTAGGTATAGACAATGGTATGTCTTCTACGAAAGTTTTTGTAGGTTAGGTAATCGCAACATGACAAATTTACTGTTTTATTATTAGTTCTATTATTATAATGGCAAATATAAATGTACTAGTGACGGACTGGACTATAAATTTACAAGCTCCACGGTTTTTCAATAAACTACGACTTGACAATGAAATGCTAAGGGCGTTAGGAATTTCTATTGACAGTCAGAATTTTTGCCTTGATTTTTTTGTCTTGTGTTCGAAAGTGTTAAAAATGTTTTTGTCAAGAAATACTAACTATTTTTCACACCCTATCGCTTCACCTATGCCTTGAAGTTAGGCCGTAGATTTATTAAAATGGAAGTTTGTAGGCGTAGTTGTAAAATTCCCTCCTAATCCCTTACAATGATGCCCCGTGGCAGTGGTCTCCAAATTCACATTTTCTGGAGCCCCCGTGAGCCTGTTGTGAGTTGCTTTGTAGGAAAAATGTTTAATGTAAACGTAAGGCAAGAGACTCGATTGAAAGCTCTACTTTACCCATAACGCACACGTTCCCGAATAATGAGTAGTGGTTGCGCATTATAAATCCATAGTTTTCTATGGAAGCACGTAAACCTATGTTTCTAAACTAATTGTGAAATACCATTGGGCCTTAGCCAAATCGCTTGGTAGTCAAGTCATTGAGTATCAAACAATTTACAGATCCTCATCAACGTCAACCAACATGCATCAGTCGATTGCACTCTATGGACCGTTTCATGCAACGGAGGTGGCACACTATTTCTTGTACTTACTTTTAGATCATCAACGTAGATAATCTATGTCGAATGATTGGAGGCCTACTCGAGTTAGACGTGAATGGTGTGACCAACATATAACTTCGAAGTCACACCTCACGTTCGACACCTAACGTGGATCGCCTCTTCGTCGCATCAAGGTACTGTGGCTGCTTTGAGGACAGTACAACAAGAAGGATGTTAATACAGAAATGTATTGGTAAAAGTAGGAACAAGAGAGAAGTTGAGACCACCACAGTATGGACCATTTCTTGGCGTGCAATTAACTGGTTCGCGTTGGTGATCCTTGACTCTGACAGGGATAAACGAGCTGTTCTATATTCAGTGACCAAAATGCCGAAAGACATGTTTAGGGCACAGTGACATTTAACTGACCCTACATACTCTTACAGATATTTTTCTGTAATAACGTTGTTTGTGTTGCACACTCATCAAAGGATCCATAGTGTTTGTATACGAAGAAAGAGTAACCCACATCAGGCATTCACCGTGAGGTAGGATTTCGACTTAAGCTGGTTGGTCACTCCATTCCTGTCCAACTCTGGTACGTCCCCTGATCTTCGATACAGACCACCTACATTGATGATATACATAATCATTAGCTGTGGCAGTCCCAGTGTTTTGGATAAGATTGGAACCAGCTTATATTGCTAAACTTCTGGTCTCAACCTCACTGGATAGTACTGGAGAAAGGTATACCTATCTAACTAATATTGAACTACATAGAAATTGACCTGCCAGATAATTCGATGGTCTGATTTGCCTAATCCAAGGGCCGGGATATTCTGTTCCTTTAATACAGTCAAAGTTAACTGACAGTTTTACCAGATGGTTATATTTATGGTAATAGGAAGACGGGATATTACGGACAGGTTGAGATCAGGTTTTTGTACATGGTAACTTAATCCTGTTAGTTAATATGCGACTAATCCTTAATATCAAAGTACGTACACAATTAAATCAATTGGTTCACATAGGGTCATTGCTCAAATTTTATCAAACTGAAACTATTGATGCACTTGAAGGTTAATGTACTAAATTCAGTATAGGCGTAACTCTCCTGTACACTATGGTTCCCCCTTCGTTCTCGGATCTTGGTAAAGATGCACGGGACTTACTCTTTAAAAAGTTTTATTTTGGACTGTATAATATTCACTGCACGACAAAGAGAAATGACATTGAATTTAAAGCCAATATTAGTGATGGACCTAAACCAAATAAGGTATATAAACATCATTAACTGTTGTATTTACATTTAATTAATATCTCAGATGCATTTCAACCTGCAAGAAAAGTTCTCCTTTCCACAATATGGTCTAACTATGACGAAAAAATGGTCTTCCAACAATCTAGTTGATGGAGAAATAGTATTTGAAGACAAATTAGTCGACGGGTTGAAACAAACTTTTCAAATTTCTCGCGACCCTTTTCAAAAGTAGGAAACTCTCCTTAACTAATTACTTAGTTGTTTTCACGCCAATTTAATCAATTCTTTTCGAAACAAGCATGTGAATTCTAACGTCGAAATGTTCTTCAAGTCTGCTATCCCTGATTTGTCCCCATCTTTTGTTTTTAAGTAAGTTCAAAACTGCTGTCAAATATTTCTTAAAAACTTGAAAATACGGGTTTTATAGCTTTATTCCTGTTTTACAATACACTGATAAAGACTATTCTGGGTTATAGTTCACAAAATGATTAGCTTTCTAGCGGAATAATAAGTTTGACTTATTTAACTACTTTAGTCCTCTTAACCACGTTTGTACATTGCCTCCTCAGCGAGGTTTGGTGTTCTGATGTTGCCACGTATTCGAAGATCCGGACTTACAGGCACCAATATGTCGAGAATATAGTCTCAAATTACAACTAATGAGGGTCAAAATTCTGTTGCAATAAACCATTTGATGTGAACACATTTCTCAGAATTTCAATACAGTTTTACAATGGTTTATGTCAATAAAAAAATGCTCACTTTGAATACTCTGATGATTTTTGTTGATATATAATCGATAAACTTAATGCTTAATTACGCTTAGTGGACATCAAAAAGCTTCATATGTAAAACTGTTTTTACCCTGGCTATTGGTTCATAAAAACTAAAAGTGATAGTCTTGTTCACAGTATGAAGGTCGAAGTAGCGAAATTATTAACACACTGCACGAACGTATCACAATACAATAATGAGTACTTGATTGGTTACCTTTCATGAAGATGTTTGTTTTGGTTGTACAACCTCTAGGTTGAAAACTAGCATAGGAATAGCATGAGCATAAGAATTCAAACAAAATAGCACCTATTGGACAGCAAGAAATTAATTCAGTAATGAAGCTAGATTTCACCAGTTCCTATGCCACTTTAGGCTTGAGTGTTACACAATCTCAGCTCCATAGTTTTTTGAAAATGAAAATGTCTTCGGTTGTGTTTGGAAGGCTGGATATTGGGGTTATCTAGGCCAGCTGATAGTTGGATAGGCCTTCATAAATACTTTGTCCGTCGATCCAGCACCCAACGTTAAACATGAGTTTTAATTTATCTCGTAATATTCCTATAAACAGTGAGTTTTATGTTAGCCCCTTTCATTTATGAAAACAAGTCATTGGTTGTTTATAGTCATTCTAGATTTCTCGCCTTCGCCACTAGCTGACAATAATGGTTTTAAAATTTGCTTATATAATCTTTTTCTTAAGTGTCTTCAGTCGTCCTTATTTTTTAATACCTATAGTAATAATTCTCCCTGAGTTGGTTCACAGAGTATTCGTTGAAGTTGTTAAATCCCCAATTACAACCATTTGAAATAAACCAAACGTAAAGTATTGTGATGTAACTTTACATATACTTGACCTTTTCTTCAGTATAACATTCAATAGTGATTGTTCTGTAGAAAATTTCCTTAATTAACGATCGCTGAATGTATTCAATATATGATGGAATAAGTTGGAGTCGCAACTAATTTTGGTATCTACCAAATAGGTCTTTACTAGATATATCTTCCGGACTAGCCTGGGCTAGGAATAAAAAGTGTAGTTTACTAGTAACGAAGTGTATTTAAGGTTACTGCTGTTATCGCATCCGTATCAGTTTCTGTAATAAATTAAAATTCCTGAGTTTTCGATATTGACTCATTATCTTTTACCCTAAATTGGGTCTGCGTATTTCAACAGAGCATGTAAGGACAATTATTACCGTCTTGCTACAACAGCCATCCAACTATACTTATTAAAGTCACTGGCGATGCTCCTTTGAAATTTATGACATCGTTCCATCCAGAAACATCCAACCTGGGTCTATTGAGGCCCACTTTTTAAAGCACAAGAACTCGACGACAATGAAGTTCCTTGCACGTTTTCAAAATAATAAGTCCTCTGTAGATAATGACAAAATAACCTGTGTCTACCGTTTGGTTTATATGAAAAATCAGAATAGATTTAGGATTGTGATAATACTATAAGGATTCGCGTAAGTTCATCTGATGGTCAGAATTCTATACCTTTGATGTCCGCAAACGCTTAACTACTAGCTCACCGAATACATCATAATAGCCGATTTTGTTTACCATGTAAGTAGCTCTTGATAATCTAATTAACTAAACCATATAACTTCTTTAAAACTCAACATTATTTTCCGTGTAACCGAAAGCCACTCAAATCGTTGCTATTAGTAAAAGTCTGGGTGGACATTTTAAATTCAGTCAACAATTAAACAATATATTGCAAATCATCCGATTTAAATCCACTTCTGGGATACAAAACTACTTTCTTAGTAGTCTTTACTGTAGTCAATCCACTTTCTTCAGTCACTCAACCTGTCATTACCTATGTAGGAATTCCCACGAAGTTTCAATAATCCAGTTTGCCATACCTCACGTCGCATTTTTATATCTGCCTATGAGATACGTGGGGGGGGCAAGATAATTCGATTCAGCATACATAATACAGTTTGCATGATTGATGTATGTCAGATGAAGCTATCGGGATGTGATACCCTCCTAGTTATCTGATTACTATAATCGAAGCTGCAATATGTTGGTACAACAAATTTCGGGTACAGAAACTAAGCAGCGTACATAAAATAATTTGTTTCCAAGTTTGTTCCACCTTTGGTGGACAGCAGCTCTTCCTATAGCGGTAAAGCAAAATAAATGGCAACAGTTATATGATGTCACGTTTAAAAATCGGAAACGATATCACAAAGTCTTAACAAGTGTAGCGCCAATTTAATGCAGCTAATGGCCACTTTTCCTAATTGTTGAGAAGTCCATTATTTCCCAAATATTCACCGGGATTACGCAAAAATACGACTTAATAATTGGCACTTTGAGTTTCTAAACTGCATATGTACCATTAAAATCGCAAGCCAATCTAAGATATACAACCATTGAAAACCTCAAAACATCAGACGACCGTTTCGTCGTGTTATGAAACGCCTCAGCGGCGCTCATCCACGACCCTTCAATCAAGAATCGAACCCAGGACCCTCGGTCTCATGTGCGAATGCCTAGTCTGTAGAGCGCTGAACCAGAATCCAATGGTATGCAAATCTAACTTCAATCAATTCACAATGTTTTTGAATCAGGCTTCATGAAACTCACCAACTTGTATAGCTGATTCATAAGAATACGCCGAAAAAGTCCAAAAATATCCACACTCTTTTTCCTCTTATAATCGTCGACTAGAGGTGAGAAATAAACCTTTTGTTTTCTCATTGGTTGAAGGCTGACCCAAAAGTCATTAGGGTTTTAGTACTAGTTGGGTTAAAATATACTTGTATTCCGTTTACTAATTAAACCAACTCTGGCTCTGACTATTGCGTTGGTACTTCGATTTATGTGACTAGTGTTCGTCATAACACACTAATGAAATAGGTTCTTTTCAACTTACAATTTAATTATATATCTTTGAATTATGATGAAATACTATTGCCGGTAACACTTTACAGATCTGCAGACTTAGACTACACTCTACACCATTCCATTTATTTTAAATAGCTAATTTTTTTATGCTCCCCCTAATATATCATCATATATTATTGATGTTAAACTCTCTTTCCACTGAGATTGCCTCACTAATTTATGTAGAGATTAAGTTCATTTATTGTTTGATTTTTTCAAATGATTAGTATTTCAGTCTATTTGGTTGTATTATTTAGTTAATGTATTTCTGTAAACCTCCAAAATTACATGGAACCATTCATTAATTCGTTCATTATGTGTGCTAAGTTTCCTGTTACATTTAAACCGTGTATTTGTACTTTAATATTAGTTACCAAGGCTATTTGGTTGGTGCAGATCTTAAATTGGATTGTACAAATCAAATTTTACAGAAAGCTAATTTTTCTGTCGGTTACACAGTACAAGATTTTAGTTTTCATGGTTTAATTACAAATTGGGGTAAACAATTTTCAGCCAGCATCTTTCAACGTATAACTGATCGACTGCATATAGCAGGTTCAGTAAGTATAATTTTAAAATTCCTATTTTTTTCAATGATATAAGTTGCCTATTTTTCCCTTAACGTTTTTATTATTGTGTTTGACAGTTTTTCAATTTTTACTTTTTAATCAAGGTTCTAGTCTTTGTTTTATGTTTGAATTCCCTCGGTATTGTTAAGGACTGAATTGATTACCTCGGTACTGTCATTCAGTCACAAATTCTTCTAGTAAAATTATTTTGTGTCTAGCAGTATAAACCAGGATGAATGTTTCGCCGTATTTGCGACTCGCCATTTGGATGTACCTGCATCCTATTATTGATGTTCACTCTGAGACTGACCAATTGTATGCACTAACTACAGTGACAAGATTTAAAAACTAAAAGTAAAACCCGTACCTGTCTCACGAACCAGTGTCTATCTGGATTGAATAGCTCAGTAGATAAGGCGATAGGTGTACTGTGTTTGAGATTTGATGTAAACGTCAACAATTCAATTACACCTAGCTGACGAGTTTTACCGCTAATCACTAATCAGCTTTTCCAAAGTATAATCTTGTCTCTAGTTTTCATTTGTTTTATATTGTATTTCAAAATTTCCACTTCATTGAAGTAACAGGTAATACACAGTTATTAGATTATTTTGACTATGTTCTAGGTTCATATCACCCAAATATTTTTGTTAGAACATGTGCTAAATGTACCTAGCTACTGTTTACTTAGACGGGTGATGTTAGACAGTACAGAAGTAGGTTGGAAGAAAGCTAGGGGTAACCAAACCGAGAAGTAGCATCAGTCCATGAATTCATTGACTATTAACTTGAATTGCTTATATAGATGCAGACTATCTGATTGGTGTCCGGGAGACAATCTCTATCAGTGATTAAAGACATTGACTGATACTCTCTCAGAATCAGTCACACTGGTGTAGGTACATTCTTTTTTTATTATGCACTTGATCTTGAATTCCAATAATCCTACATACATATTTTTTCTTTATGTCTTTTCGAATCTCATTCTCAATTTTCAATCTTTCTCATCAGCATTTTCACTGCATTATTTCAATCCCTTTGGTATTCAACCTGTTAGGTTGATCTTGCTGTTTTAGAGTAGTTTAGCAACTCGGTCCAACGTACATGTGTACTAGGCTCTACGTTGTTGATGATTAACTGGGTTTTGCTTATTTATTAAGTATTGAAATTGATACTTCATATAGAAAACATACTTTGTGATATTATAATTACTAAGATATAGTCAATAAGATTGTGATAAACTAATTTTATACCAATTCTGCTGTGTCTTTATGGCCCGCTAGCTATCACGTAATTTATTCGCCAATCAAAATACGACTTATTCACTTTTGTACTGTATTAAACCAATGACGTTCGACCGGTATGAGCAGCCTAGTATCCTTATTGGTCCTATGTTCGCCCAGCCCGTCCAGCTGAATCTAGAATGGCAACAACAGCCTCCACTATGCGAATCATATATTTCAGACATACTGGGTTTATATACCAAACAAACAGACGCCAACACACCGTAAAATAAGAAATAACATTCATGCACAATAAAGCCAAAATGTGTCTGTGAACACGGGAAACTGTAATTAATAAACTGAGTATACTTTAAGAACAGTAAATCGTATAATAATAAGTTATGGGTCAAAATGAAGCTTATAATAAGGGGAATATAGATATACATAATCTAATTACTGAATAGTTATACCATAAGAATATACAGATAATATTAGTTCATTAATAGGTCTCAAAAGTTACTCGTAATGTAATCTTCGTTAGGATATAACAAATTTCATGGTGTGAGTACGTGTTTATATTTATTGTGGAGACCTACCTGAATGTCTGGGTTACCTGTTCCTACAATCTAGATATTTCAACAAACTCTGTGCTTTTTGCGTGATTATGAAAGTTTACTAGCTTTTGCTATACAATTTACAAAATAGTACAATCAAATATATCATGGTGGCTGGTAATATGTCTTAAAAAAGACATGATTTAGATGTCAATTCCTGAACTGCTAACATCTAACTGGTAGTTACTCATTATTTATCGTCAAGATCAATCAATCAATAAGGAAAGGAAACCTATTAAAATACTTGGTTCTGACAATTCTATTCTATATGAAGAATATAATACTGAATAAAAGCGTTAATGATAATGATAACAACACTAACTTGAATGGTACAGAGTGACATTGACAAATCCATTACTTAAAATAATATTGTACAAATGCAATACATTGGAAATTGTGACGACGGATCACGGGTGAACTCGAGGAAGCTGTAGGAGGCTCAGAAGGAGCCGAAGATATCCCAACCAATCACCTTTCGGAGGAGTATTCTAGAATTCCTACATGTAGCTTCCCGATTGGACAACGCTAATAACCCCCTGTATGTGGATTGGAGGACTGTAATGATGATTTCGTTCTTACTAAAAACTATTAATACCTGACAATTTTGTACTATGATTGACACTGTTTGGAATAATATTCCTTTCATTAGTCTTCTGTCTTCTCATTGCGACTTGGAAGGGTTCTGTCATTCTAGTGCTCACGTTGTACGCAGTATTTCAAGAACGATCTTCTAGATATAACAGAAATCACTATAAAAAACCCAGCTAGAACAATGAACATTTCGATTAATAAAACAAATAAAGTAGGATTCGATCAATCATCAGATGCATCTAGTTTTTTTTCTTTTAAAGAGACAAATGATAAATACAATAGAATCATCACTAGTCTATATTTATACTCTGTAGTTGATGAGGTCTCAAGTTACTGAGTTGTAAAATATATGAATCTTTATTTCATATTATGTATTTTCTTCACATTAATTGTTATGATTTATGGTTGATAAATTCCTTGTATCTGCTAAACCAGTTTCAACACCAAAGGTTCAATTTAATCTTCTTACTTTTATCGAAACATTCCTATTAAGTGAAAATAGTGAGTAGAGATACTATGCAAGAAATTTAAAATGTATGTCCGTATTAGATGATTTGGTGAGAAATAACTGTCGATTCAATTCAGTCATACATTTCAACGAATATATATATATTCAATTTGGAATTCAGGATATGCGTTTGATTCCGGCTTAGTTTGGTTATTATAAATCTATAAATTAGTATTTTAAAGATTCAGTTTTCTATAGATAACGACAAACTTAATGAAGTGGTTTATTGAAACTTGCAAGAAGTTGAAATTACAATTTCTATGTCTAAAATCGTAATTTTACTAAACAAAATCAACCTTACATAAGTTGGTAATATTTTTGTTTAATCACAAATGTGAATCCTAAGTCAGACAAATATATCAACATAAAGTTTGGTACAGATGTGCAGCTTGGACTAATAGTTAATGACTTCATAGACTGATGTCTGTTATATCTTGAAACTGATTTTTCTCGATATACCGCGTATAACAGAGCACTAGAACACCAAAACCCTTCCAAGTCGCAATAAGAAGACAGAAGACTAATGAAAGGAATATTATTCCAAACAGTGTCAATCATAGTACAAAATTATCAGCTATTTATAGTTTTTAGTGAGAACAAAATCATCATTACAGTCTTCCAATCCGCATACAGGGGGTTATTAACATTATCCAATCGGGAAGCTACACGTTGGAATTCTAGAACGTTCTTCTGAAAGGTGATTGGATGAGACGTCTTCGGCTCCTTCTGAGCCTCTTACAGCTTCCTCGAGTTCACCGGTGGTCCGTCGTCACACCTCCCCGCTTTAAAGTCCGTTGTGTAAGATTTTTTTCTTGGATCCACCTGAACCTTGGGTGTCGCATTCCTCATGTGGTCCATTATTCTCGAGGGTTGTACAGCTCTCTCTCTCTGCATCGTTTGTCTTTTCGATATTTGCGCTCACGATGGTTCATCGGAGACGAATCTACGAGCAATTGAAATGGGAGCCGGTTTTCTGTGACCACTGTACTATCATTTCTTTGCATTTGATCTATATGTCTTAGGTATTTTCCAACACCTTTCCGGACTAGGTACAGTACAATTCCGATTCGACGTTCTATGACACCTGGTTCCCACCTCCTATTACCTTGATACGATCTGACAAGTACCTTTTCACCCACCTGGAAGCTACGATTGACCTTACGATTTTCATTCGTGGGTTTATTTGTCTTTCTGGGCGGCAACATACTGTTAAAGACTGTCCGGATTTTTCTATTGAACATACACTCGGCCGGAGACTTTCCTTCTGGTACTGCCGGATTAGGGGTAACTCTGTAAGACATCAAGAACTTATTAATCACTTGTTCCGGGATACCCTCACCTCCCCCTTTGACCAGAGCTCTTTTAATCGTATCCACCAATCTTTCTGCCTGGCCATTCGACTGAGGATGGTACGGAGGAGATTGTAGATGCAATATGCCATTTTCGTTGCAAAAGCGTTTGAAGGCGGATGACATAAACTGAGTACCATTGTCGGTCACTAGGATCTCTGGAATCCCAAAACAAGCAAACAATCCTGACATTCTTATTGTACTCTCTGAAGTCGTATTCGGCATGTCATACACTTCTGGCCATTTTGTGAAGGCATCTACAACAACTAAGTAATTCCTGCCTTGTATTGGTCCGGCGAAATCAGCATTTATTCTTTGCCAAGGCCCGTCCGGTTTAGGCCATGGTTGTGGTTCACCTCTCGTTGGATTCTTTGCAGCCTTTAGACAGGACCAACAACTGCGACATTTTTGCTCTATATCATGGTCCATTGACGGCCAGTATGCATAGCTGCGAGCTAGTGACTTCATTTTACTTATCCCCGGATGCCCGCTGTGGAACTGTTTAATGACTTGGTGTCGAAGATTTCTGGGGATTACGATAAGATGGCCAAACATTATACATGAATCGACAACTGTTAATGATTCCCGTCGACGAAAATATTGTAAGAGATCTCCGTGTAGTCGAGATGAAGGCCATTTGTTGAGTATGCAATGGTGAACAATCTTCAATACATTATCCTTCTTGCTAGCCACTTTAATGGCTTCA